TTTCTCTATTTTATTAAATGTATGATGTTATACGGTATTGTATGCAATTATGCTGTATATGTAACTATGCTTATATACATTATTCCAACTTGTTCTTTTCTTTAGATACACTCAGAATAGTGGTTATGGTAACATGGTCAATCCGCTCCTCTCATTGGCTCATCCCGGAGTGTACGGGATTCCTATGCTGGTAATAGAGAAGTATCTTGAGGTTACTCGCGCAAGATACGGATGATGTCCGATTGGTGAGCATTTAGGTTCTGGTGGGTTGGCGTGGTGAGCCTGGAGTAAGGGACGAGCCACAGCATAAGATCATGGGAAAATTGCAGGCTGGTAATATTGCGGATCGAACCTGGGTTTAGTGGTGTTACTTAGGTATAATTCAAGCTATGGATTTGGCTTGCACTGAGCTGCCTACTGAGAATTCGGAAGCTTTGGAAGCTCTGGAAGCAGCGGCGGCGCAGGTAAGGTGTTAGGCTCTCATTCTAGAGGTATCTGGTTCAATTTCCTATGGCTGTTATTTTAGTCTATGGAGAGCAAGACTCCGCATTTGATACTGGTTCGAAAGGATACTTTCTCGAGGTAGTTAAGTAATATGACGTTATGCCCATTAGCTTAGTTTTAAAGATATACTTTGGAGATGGCAGCAGAGTATGATAAGACCTTGCCTATGACGAGGGAGAATGCCATAAGAGTAGTGTTGAAGGCTGGTGGTGATCAGGCTACATATGTCGGCACTACAGGATTCTTGAGGTATACCTTAAACTTGGCAATAAGATAGATAAGTATATTCCTCAGTCGAGAATTATTCGAGATTAGAGCTAACGAGTATGGTGGAGATCATTCTCAAGACTTCCTATGTGTTGGCAATATGGGCCATGCTGGGTCCATTGCAGAAGGTAATGATACTATAATAGCATACTGGGATTCATCCGTGCTTCCTTGTATGTTCATTTTCCTTGTAGTAATTGCTTTATATGTGCATAAATTTAACTATCATTGATTTAGCTTGAGAGTGACTAAGATCTTTGCACTGAGAGTTGATTCGCCATTCTCGAGTGATGTGTGCCTGCTTTATATCTCTCTGAGTCATGTTGTAATAGTCGATATCCCTGTAGATGGTTTCTCTCATTAGGTTTGGCTACTCACATGCCGTCAAAGTCCCCAGTGGTGTGTATGGATGGTGACGGAGCTTTGCTGATGCACATGGGATCAATGGCTACTAATAAGGCTGAGAATTTAGTTCATGTCTTGGTAGGCGGTGCTGGGGATTGAACCTGCGACCTCACACAATTGGTCAGATTAACAATGGGATGCATGAGAGTGTCGGAGGGCAGCCAACAGCTGCTGCTGGCTTGAATCTATGTGGTATTGCCCGAGATGTTGGGTAGTCCGAGATCCAGGGATCGATCCTTAGTGAGAGAATTTCTACCCTTCAGCTACCCTACTGCTATACGGGTTCGTACTGAGGAGGAGCTCGCATCAGCAGTAGCCGATGCTGTGGCCCAACCCCACAGTGGGCCTGTGTTCATCGAGGTGCTCGTCAAACCCGGGGTTAGAGCTGATCTTGGCAGGCCTACTACCACTCCACAAGGGAATAAGGTGAGATTGCTACACCTATCAAATTGAGGGAAGTATTTTATCGTGATCTTTGGTTTATCAATGCACTGGAAGCTTCTATATGCATTGTGATGGCCACTGGTGACTTCCTTTTATGCCACTGTTTAATGTGCATTACAGACTCCTTGTTCGTATGCTTCCAAGCTCCGCATGGCTACTAATGAACTCTGTCATGTTTTCAGAATGTGTTTATGAACCGAATACAGAGGATACAGTCTGCAAATAACTGAGTAGGGGAAGAGAGCAACTTTTTTATCGTCGCATAGTCTGCGCGACGACAGTGTGCTGTTTTGATATGAGTAACTCCTGTGTGTCCTTCTCGCCAATTCTGTTCCACTCCTTCGTTGCGATATATGTAGTTCTCGGAATCCGAGCTGCTACGTTACTGTTTTTTTTCTGTCATTCGATTTTGTTGCGAGAGTAAGTACTTGTCAATTCTCGTAGCTCCATGTAGGCGATCTCGGGATAGTCTAGGGTGAATGATTCAGTGTAGTGAGGACTCCTCTACTGAAACCGAACAAGCCCTTGGATCTACTCAATGGGTCGAGATCGAGCCTCTTGGTGTCACCGTGTTGACGGAAG